CCCGAAACATCAGCCTTCCTGCTCCTCTGATGCTGCTTGGCCTGCTGTGTTCATCCAGCTCTACACCTTGTTATCTCAGATTCTCCAGCATCGGCAGTTCCCACTATCTCTGTTTTATTCCATCAGCTTTCTTTTCTTTAGGTTCAGGTCGTTTTGTCTGAAATATTATTTGGAAAGCAGCCTGGTAATGAGCTGGTTGTTCAGGTCGGCCTTCCCAGACTCAGCGTTAATTGCAGGGCTAATGTAAAACTTTGCTGCCCACACCTCCAACTCCCAGCCACCCATCAGTCCAACCACACTTCAAATTTGGAAATCCGCATTCTTGTCTTCAAACCTCTCCACTCCTGAATCTCCTCGAGTCCCACAGCCCTGTGAGATTTCCGCTCTGCTCCAATTCTGACCTCTCGAGCATCCTCAATCATAGAAGGGTTACCGTGTAGAAGGAGCCCATTAGGCCTATTGTATCTGCACTGCCTGGTGCACGTCATTACCTAATGCCAGTCTCTTGCATTTTTGCCCCATACCCTTGCACACTATTTTTCACGAAGTAATCACAGATTACACAAAGATCTTGATCAATTGGGTCAATGGGCTAAAGAGTGGCAAATTAAGTTTAATTTGGATAAATGTGAGGTATTGCATTTTGGTAAAACAAACAAGGGCAGGACTTATACAATGAATGGTAGGGCCCTGGATAGTGTTGTAGAACAGAGAGACCTAAGAGTTCAGGTACATAATTTTTTGAATTCTGCCTCACATGTCGACAGGATGGTTAAGAAAGCGTTTAGCACGCTTGCCTTCATTGCTCAGACCTTTGAGTATAAGAGTTGCAAGGTCATGTTGAGGTTGTATAGGACACTGGTGAGACTTCTTCTGGAGAGTACTGTCTCCAGTTCTGGTCACCTTGTTAGCATATTATTAAACGAGAGAGAGTTCAGAAGAGATTTATCAGGATGTTGCCAGGAATGGAGGGTTTGAGTTATAAGGCAAGGCTAGATAGGCTGGGACTATTTTCACTGGAGCATAGGAGGTTGAGAAGTGACATTTTAGGGGTTTATATAGGTTAGATGGGCTTCAGATTGGTTTCACAGGTCGGCGCAACATCGAGGGCCGAAGGGCCTGCACTGTGCTGTAATGTTCTATGTTCTATATGAGGGGTATAGATAAGGTGAATGACAGGCGTTTTTTCCCTGGATTGGGGTATTTCAAGATTAAGGGGCATATTTTTAAGGTGAGAGGAGAAAGATTTAAAAAAGACCTGAGGAGCAACTTTTTACACGGAGAGTGGTTCATGTGTGGAATGAACTTCCAGAGGTGGTTGTGGGTACAGTTACAACGTTTAAAAGCCATTTGGATGAGTACATGAATAAGAAATGTTTGGAGGGATATGGGCAGACAAGTGGGACTCGTTTAGTTTGGAATTTTCGTTGGCAGGGACTGGTTGGACCAAAGGGTCTGTTTCCATGCTCTATGACTCTAGTCATCTAATGCCCTCTTAAATACCCCAATTGAACCTGACTCCACCACATTACCAGGCAGTGCATTCCATACCCTAACTATTTGCTGTGTGATGAAGTTTTTTCTCACGCTACATCATCTTGTTTGCACGTCATTTTAAATCTGTGCCTTCGCATTCTTCTTCCTTATATGAGCAGGAACAGCTTCTCCCTCTTGACTCTATCCAGCCCATTCACAATGATCAAAACCTTTATTCAATCTCCTCCCAGCATTCTCCTATCTATGGAGAACAATCCCGACCTCAATCTGTTCCCATAACTGAAGTTCCTCCTCTGAACCCATTCTTGTAAATGGTTTCTGCACTCTCTCCAATGCTGTTGCACTACCTTCAGTTCTAGGTTCTGGAACTCCCTCTCGAAACCTGTCCCTCTCCTGGTTAACTCTCCTGGTGTCTATGCAAGTGGCTCGAATGTCGAAGACGTTTTTCCCCAAATTTCCCCCTGTTTGAATGCCTTGGACCTTCTTGCGTTGTCAAGGGCGCCAGATAAACGCAGCGTGTTGTTGTTTTCTGTTTTCTGTGCAGGAGATGAATGGTTTCAGTTTGTCCATGTCTACCCAAGGCAGCCAGACCAGCGAGCGATGTCCTATCTCCTGGCCACTCAAATCCGAGAAAGAAGCTTTATTAGTAGGTAGAGTATCCTGACTGGCTTATTTTCAGTGTGGTTTTGACTTAAGATTGAATTAACGTTCACCCTGGGCTGATGCCGAATCAGAAACCTCAAATTAAACATTGGAGCAGCAGGTCACTGTTTGCCCTCTCATGCCTGTCCCAGCATTCAGTTCAGTCATGGTCAATCCCTGTGCCCAAGGTCTATCTGGATCCCTTCGGATCCAATACGTAATTACTCGACTGTCAATCCCATGTTGCAAACCTTCTGTCCTCCCACCAGTCTCGTCAGCTTCTCAGGGAGCAAATGATTTGGTGATGGATTTTGCTGGCAAAAAATAATGGCCGCCCAGTGGCACAGAGAGCCATGTTGCCTCTTTTCCTTCTGGCAGCCATTTTGCAGGGTACAGGAAGGGGCACGGGACAGGGATTTCTCTCTGCTCCTATTGACAGATGCAAGGTCGGAGCTTTCAGAGGGTTCATGGGTGGGTCAGTGTTGGGGGAGGGGTAGGGGGCAGCAGGTATTTGGAGATGGTGGGGATGGCCTTGGAGATGAACAGAAGGCCAGGACATGGCTTGGAAGGCACGTTGGAGGGTTTTTAGGGTCTTGAGGGTTGTAATTGAGAGGGGGGGGCAGTGATAGAAGCAGGGAGGTTGTTTCCACTGGCGGGTGAAACTAGAACGAGGGGGCACAGCCTCAAAATAAGGGGGAGCAGATTTAAGATTGAGGTTGAGGAGGAATTTCTCTACCCAAAGGGTTGTGAATCTGTGGAATTCCCTGCCCAGTGAAGCAGCTGAGGCTACCTTGTTTAATGTTTTTAAGGCAAAGATAGACAGAGTTTTGAACAGTAAAGGAATTAAGGGTTGTGGTGTGCGGGTGGGTAAATGGAGCTGAGTCCATGAAAAGATCAGCCATGATCTTATTGAATGGCGGGGCAGGCTCGATGGGCCGGATGGCCTACTCCTCCTCCTGTTTCTTACGTTCTTACGAAAAGGAATGAGACCTGTGGATGATGATGTCTTTTAAGACAATTCCTAACAAAATCTCGAACTGCCACCTTCCTCCTACCTTACTGTCTCAGTCTTTTCTGTGAATGCCAACTCTTTGCAGTTGCTGCATTCCAATCACAGCTAAACTCGGAATGAATGGATAGGCTGTGTGCCCGACCTGCTTTTGGCTCTGGGAGGTATGCAGTCTGGCCCTCTCTCCCAAATAACTGCAAAGTCCTGCTTCCCCTGTCAGATTGATTCACCAGCACATCAGGAATCCTTCACAATCCTCCACGACTTTGCACGGATGCACTGTGAGCAAGGCAAGATCGATTGTTAGGCTTCTCATGCTCCAGTTAACCGAGAGCCGCATTTATGTTGCTCAGAAATCACTTAATGCTCAGGTCTCCAGCACATTCAATTAGATGACGGGAAATGTGGCTGTCTACAAGCATGTAACTATTGGAAACAGGAACCATCATCTGAATTTTACTCTAAACTGACATGATGCATTGAGTTTATAGTACAGGAGTAGGCCATCTGCTGTACGTCATTGATCCTGATATACGTTGTCATTTTACAGCCAAACCAGTGAGACAGAAATAAAGACACCTTGTTATTGTAGACAATAGATTATTAACTATTCAGTCATACAGCTCTTTCCATACACCAGACTCACCTGTTCTCCTTTATATCCACCTAGTCAATTAATCAATCGGTTAACCATTGCCTTGTTTATCACTCTGCAACATTAACGCACAGAAACCACTCCCGCCCTCCTTTTTGTCACTCTATTGACATATTCCCAGAGAGCCAGGTAATGGCCTGTTGATTGTACTGTCGGAGAGGGCATTGGATTTTCCAAGCTGCTGTGCAGACACGCTTCCAAAGTATAGGTGCCCCGAGACCACGTCCCGGTGGAAGACTACAGGTGGGGGACAACATTCCAGGCAAGCCCCAAGGCTCTCCTATGCCTCACCGACAGTGGGCCCGTCTCACCGACAGTGGGTCTGTCTCACCGACAGTGGGTCTGCCTCACCGACAGTGGGCCCGTCTCACCGACAGTGGGTCTCTCTCACCGACAGTGGGCCCTCCTCACCGACTGTGGGCCTGCCTTTTGGGACCACTTCTTATGTCACATTTTCAAAACTTAGAGGTGGGAATTTAGTGGGGGGGAGCTGCGCGGTGCAGTGGTGGTGGTGGGTGGGAAGCGTGCAGAGGTGGGGGGCGTACCTCTTGGCTGTCGGTGTCCCCACAGTGACCCAGGGATGGCATCGTGCTAGCTGCCCTCTGAGTTAGGTTAGCTCAGCTCCTAGAGACTATCTGAGGACGCTACGTGTATCCCTCAGCCCCTGGAGCCCATCAGTTGGCCAAAATTGGGGTCGGGGGGGAGGTGGTAAACCCTAGCTGGGCAATTGACCCCCAGTGAGACCACTCCCCCCCCCCCAATTTGACCAATGGCAGTGGGTTTCTGAGGCGCAACGTCCTGCCCACTTTGAAGCTGCAGTTTGCAGCTTTCCCCTGAGCTGAAGGGTCGTGGCTGAAATACTTCATGTCATACCGTGAACTCAGAGTCTCACACAGCACACAGCCACCTCATTTCCTCATCAGCGTCGGTACAATGCAGAAATAACCCTTCCAGTGGCTCCCCTGAATGTTACACCTCACACGGGGCTCAAAATGGGGGCTGAGGCACTCTGTTCAAAGCGCTGCTTAAGCTTTTAAGTCCATCCCCAACATTTGGCTGTCCCCTCCTCTAGAGAATAAATAAAAACATCAGCATCAGTTACAATCTAAAGGAGTAATTATGAAGAAATGAGGCACAACACATTCTGAGAAACACTTGATTTCCCCTAATCGTTCATGATTCAATTCAAGGAATACATTACAGCTGGTTTAACAAACCAGACAGGACACCAGAATCGATGAACTCAAAGAATCAAAATGATGTTGCGCTGCAGAATTCATCTTGTCATGTTGCCCTTGGTTCGGTTTTAGTGCTGTCCTTTTGAGGTGGCGATTTTTTTACAGTCAGCAAAGGCCTTTTTTTTCCTGTAGGTGCAGGCGCTACCGCAATGTAGGAAATGAAGCTGCCAGTTTGCACGCAGGGCAGTCCCCAGTGAGACAAATGACCCAGATCACATGGAGTGAAAGGGAAATACCCCGTGGATGAAGGAGATCTGAAATCAAGACCGGGAGTGCTGGGAAAAAAAACTCGGCTGGTCTGGCGGCACACGCGCGGAGAGGGGAAAACAGGGTTCATCATTTTGAGTCCGCTGACCCCTCTTTCAAGCTGCTCCCTTTCCCCAGAAATGGAAACGGTGACCCTGCCTCTGCAGCGGGAAGTCAGGAAAATGAGGTGTTGTTGTGTGAATGCCTACCCAACACCTTCCCAGGGATATCGGGATGGGAACTGAAATAACTCAACAGGAGCCAATATCCTGTCACTGTGTCCTTGACACAGTTCTGGCTTCCTCACAGCCGGCTCTCAGAGTGAGCAGAACCTCTGACACTCCTGTTTCTACTTTTTCTTAGGTTAAAGAAAAACACCAGATGTGCAAACAACTTTATTAACACCACCATCAGGAAAATCACCCACGTGACCAAAGCATTGATATCAAGTAGAGTCCCCCTGTAGGGGCACTGCCTGTGTGAAAGGAAAAGTGAGGGGGAGGGGGAGGGATCAAATCAAAATAGAGATTGTAGGGGGGTAAATAAAGAACTCTACACCCTGCGGTGCCCACCTCTCCCGAAAGGCATCGAGAGCGCCAGTGCACGCTGCGTGCTCCTTCTCCAGGGGATACCCGGGCACGGACCCTTGCCATGGGAGAGGAACAGGCAGTTGCCTGGACCTATTAATGACCAGCTTGGTCAGGCCCAGGAGCAGACCCGCCAGGAGATCCTCTGACCTGCCTGCCCCTCTCCGCACTGGGTGCCCGAAGATCAGGAGCATGGGGCTGAAGTGCAGCCAGAAACACAAAAGGAGGTCTTTGAGTTAATTGAAAAGGGAGCGCAAGCGCCCGCACCCAATATCCACATGGTCCACGGACTCTACAGTGTCGCAAAACAGACAGCTGGGCTGGGAGCCCATGAACCACCGTAATCTGCAGTTACAGGGGACTGCTGTGTGCAACACCCTCACCCCCCAGATCCCCAAGGGAAAGGGGCAGGACTCCTGCGTAGAGGGCCCTTCACTGGGAATCCCTGCTGCCTGGTGGTAGATGGGCATGGCAAGGTGTGCCCGGGGGGGTGGGTGAAGGAGAAGAGGTGGATGGTGTACAGCAGCAGTTTGTAAGGGTCCCGCCGTTTCACATCTTTAAAGGACGCAAACAGGAGATTCCGGGCACAGCTCAGGTTTTGTGGGGCACAGGCTCCTGGGGAAGATACGGGATCCCGGGGCCGACGTGAAATTCTGTCTGGGCAGGAGTATGCGCAGACGGGATCCCACCGCACACCTGAGCGTCCTCCAGCTGGTGCACAACGTCGGGTCCGAGCATCGCCGTTCTGAGACATTGGATGGCAGAGGCCGTGAGCCGGATGCCCATTGCAGCCCTGTGTGCCAATTCCAGCCCAGGCCCCCACCACCCAGCACGTCCCCGACACTGGTCACCCCCCCCCCCCCCCCCCCCCTCCAACATAGCCGCGGCCCTCCCCTCTGCCAGCCAGTCGAACCTGCGATCACGAAAGTGCGGATTCCTGAGCAGCGGCTCTCTGATGATGGCCGCCACTCCTGTTTCTATCTGTCAGCCAGGGCTCCCTGATTGGACCAGGTCCTGATTGGACCAGTTTAACAGCCCCCAATCAGGGAGCCCCTATTGTACGAGGTGCACTAGGCTGACCTCATTACCATCACTACAGAAACCTGATGGGTGACTTCTGGCCCACCTCCACTCGTGATCCTGAAGTGGTGGCTTCGCCAGTGTTTAGGTGCCTGTGCCCATGTGGGTTTCAATTATCTCGGCTCTGGGTGGGACAGCCAAGAGATGGCTCAGTGACAGGGGAAAGTATCCAGGCAGTCTACCACCTAG